CCATGAACTTATTGACAAAAGGTAAAATATTCGGAGAAGTGAGATGCTATATGTATTCAACAGAATACCAAACTGTAGAGAGGTTCAGGTAGTTGTAAGCTATAACTTATCGAATAGGTTATGATAATAACTAAATTAATATGTATAAAATATTATTTCAAAAATCTTAATTAATTTAAATTTCAATAGATTTAACAAAATTTAATCTTGGCAGGTTACATACATTTATATACTTAAACCCGGCAACGACGGGTAATTTAGCTAAAAAAAAAATTTTAAAATCCTAGACTAGGAAGTTTCTCTTCCTTAAATACTACATTTTTATTTAGGGGGTCCAATTTACTGAAAAAGGTCATTTAGGACCCAATTTATCATCCCCGAATTCGAGGAACTTTTTTTGGTTAATAATTTCGAACAGCTCCGGGATGGTTGCCGAAGAAGTTTGCGGCTACATGGTGGAGGATTAGTAACCGTCGGCATACAGATAGAAACGATTACGAACGATGCCTAACCTACAAGTGCAGGCTTGGAAACCGAAATATACCAAGAAAATGCAAGTGTTAAAAGTTCATACGTTCAAGACCGGTAATATCTCTTAAGGACCCGGGAGCTGATCGATTGCAAGCTATCTTTGCTTACACTTGTTTGGTCAAGGTATACATACTTTAAATATATTCGAATTTGCATCTTATGCTACGGAAAATGAGATTATTAAACAATTTTGTTCAAAAATCTGAGATTACGGACCCTCTTGGAAGTACAGGCTCCGGGGCTCTAATCCTCCTTGCCCCACCCTCTCAACTGCTCTGCGTACGTTTCGTCATAATATAAGCACGTTGTACGTGCATTTCATAAGAATGATAGTGTGAAATTAAAATAGTGATGGTCGATTGAAAGAAAGTATTTTGCACAAAAGTTGAATAAGTACATTATAATTCATTAATAAAAAATTATACCAAGAAGAAATATTTATATAATTTTGTATAAAAATAAATTAATAATTATTAACCAAGCTGCCTGATCCGAAAAAAATGTTCTCTATGTTTACTATGATCATATAGATATGGAATACGAGAGAACGTGCGTTTTCAGACAAAATGGACAATGGAGCTACTTCGGGTTCTAAACGAAGCTTAGTGAATGTATTGATTTTACTGTTTGTTAATTAATCATTGACTGCTTTTAATTTTATATCATAATATCATATGAAAATATGTAATTAATTTTAATAAAAGAAGATTAAATCTTTTTCTATCTTATTTTTAACCAAATATCAAAAGTTAAAATCTAAATTCAATAAAATTACAATATACATGTTTTGGGCTCCCGAAAAAAATTTCTAGATACGGCCTTGGTCACAGATGATTCAACTTAAAAAGGATCACAGGAACGTATACCTTGTTGACCGTGAAAATTGGTTCGATTGTGTTTCAAGCCGTTACATCGTGGCGATAATCTCATGCGGATATATAAACGAAGATTTTGTAGAATACCGCTAATAATTATAAGGAACAATGAAAATATAGCTATGATTACGTAGCAATAAAACAAAACAAAATGAAGCAAAATTAATTTCACGTAATACTTATGGCTTGATTTTTTTTTTTCAAGGGGAGGATTCTGCAATGTAGGTATTTCGTCGAAAATTAAAAAATTAATTCACTAGAGTAATATTGAAAACAATAATTTTTGGATGAACAACTCGAGGCGTAACAAAAAAACATTTTTATAAGTAACCAAGTTATAATTATCGGTTGATAGTAAATTTCCCAACGAATCAAAATATAAATTTTATATGAGAGAGGGCCATCACTAGGGTTGCCATAAATTTATAAGGCGAAACCGGGACAAAACAAACAAATTATTGAGTAATATACTTTTAATATATTGGGAGGACCAGTGACGTATACAAGGGGGGTTGTAGAGGTCAGTTCCCCTAGACCTTTTTTTAAATGTTATAAAATAATGTTCTTAGTATAAGAGTGTTAAAAACGCAAAAAAATAAAATAATAAAAAAAAAAAAACCTATGTTTTTTTTGAAAACCCCCCCCCCCCCCCCCCCCATACAAAAGTTATGTATACGTCACTGAAGAAGACCATTAATAGCCGGCAATCATTGGCGTGCGCAAACTTAGTCCGCAGGGGGGCCCTTAAAAAAAGTGAACCAAAGATTCTTGTACTAAATACAGTATAATTAAATATTTTAAATTTTATAAATTATTTATTTTATTCAAAATAAAAATATAAAAATAAATACTCTTTAAACTTACACAATTTATGTCTAAGAAATCCTTATTTACATATTATTATACTATTTACAACTCCATTCTTCTGTCAACGAGAGTAAGGTTTTTGAATACATGAATTACATCTTCAATTTTTATATTATATTCAAGTTCTGATTAGTCTGATTAATAACTAATAACTTTATTACATTTATTCACAGATATATATATTCTATACTATATAATTAAAACAGGCTTTACTTTATTCATGTAAAATGTAAAAAATGTTCGCCATCTTGTATAATATAGATATACACCTAAATAAGAAAAACCCAGAGTCCACAGAGGGGCCACGGCCCACCCGGTTACCCCCGTGCATACGTCTATGCCGGCAATATAATATTTAAAAATCTTTTTGTAAAATAAAATATATTATATGTGTAAATTACAAATAATGTTTTTATTATATATTGTTAATCGATTACGATTAAAAATGTACTTTGAAATAAACTGGTCGAAATTAAAAAAATAAACAATACTACATTTCCTTTAGACGTCTAAGCCGGGACATATGGACGTCCCGAAAACATTTTTCGGGACACCGGGACACGAAGTCCAAAACCAGTGACAATCCCGGTTTTCCGGGACGTATGGCAACCCTACCCATCACGGTCAATTTTGAATGACCAAACAACGTGATTGACGACATTCACAATTGACTGTGTACGTATATGACTAATAATGACTGAAAATCAAATTTTATAACTGATGAAATTCAAACATGTTTGAATTTTTAGCATCAGTCAAGGTGGTTGACATTGGAATTTGGAATTCATTATAAACACTTAATTTCTTTTCAAATAGTAAATTCACTTCCATTTTAGCAATGATAAAGAAATTATTTGGATTTTATATATATTTAACTATTAATATTGCATTTTTGTATAGATTTTAGTGTTTAAGTGTTTTTAAGTAATCAGAATACTTCAAAATACATTTCAATGGTCAATGACCGTTGATAATGATTGTAAGCAAATTTTAAAGCAATTAATTATAGGTATAATATTCACATTAATTTCTTTTTGAAATTTCATAATTCATCCATGCATTTATATTTATTAACTTTACACCAAAGTGTCTCTAAAACAATATAAGCTCAAATTATATTATAATTAGGATAATGTTATTATTATTAATACACCTAAAGATTAAAATTTATTGTGAAATAAGTAAAGGAAAATAGCTTCTTCTTTATTTTCAGAATGGGAAAATTTCAAATAAGTCTTGTGATTAAAAATCCTTAGTTCACATATTATATAAATAGGATTTATGAAAGGAAAATTTAAAATATAAGCTGAAAGATAACTTTTACATTATTTAATTAAATTTAGACAAATATGCATAAAAATTAAAAAATCATATCACCAGTAAAGTTATTGCAAAAAGCAACAAATTATAAGTGTTATATTTTAAAATCTATGTTCTACATCTTAATTAAATTAAAAATAAATAATACAGCAGCATTGTAATCAAATATTGTAAACAAGGTTTTACATAAGGTACATCAAATATGAAAAAATAAAACACAAATTTCAGTAATATAAGTATACAAAAAAACAAAATTAAACATAATTAATCAATAAACATGGTGAAATCTAATAAGTTGACTAGAAATTTAAAAAATAAGAAGGAACCAAAACAAATTATATTAAATGTTAGCAAAATAGATGTTAAACAAGTATTTGTGATTGATTCATAAGATTAATGAAATTACAATATGCAATAAAAGTTTCAATTATTTTAGCTAAAGCTATACGGTTGAATATTTTTTTTTTTTTTTACAAAATAATTATTTAAACAGATAGTATAAATTATATTATATCCATTAGATACATTGTAAATATTATATGTTATAAATAGTAAAAAAAAGAGTATGCATATATGTATCTACTAGCTAGAAGAAAATTATATCATGAAATTAATAATATAATTTAAATTAACATATTCATTTCAATAAACAGTAAAGTTAAAGTAAATATAACATTTTTTATCTGGCAATTTTTAATTATTCAAATGTACTTAGTATTTGTGTATATATATATATATATTTAATACATTTTATTTTATTTAGTATGTGATGTTTAAAATAAAACCGTATTGCTTTTTCCAATTAAATATTTTATTGAAAATCGTAAAAATTTAGTGCAAAATAAAATCTTACCAAAGCACAAACAACTAACCTAAATAATAAAAAGAAAATTAGGGAATGTTCTTTCAATTAAGAGGAGTTCATAATTCATATTGTATGAAAACATTTACAGAACCTTAGTAATTATGTAAACAAAAATTTAATAGTGAAATAATTTTGATGTTATCATTAACATAAATAATTACTTTATGATAACACAAATTATTAAAACTACATAAATTATAAAACATTATAATTATGTTTTATATTTTTGTTTTACCATAAATGAATGGCATCTATGATTCCATAATTAAAAAGAAATTTGATTAGATGATACTAAAATTGATTTGATTATAAAGTAATCAATTGCTAAAATATATTATTACGTATTATAAATCATTTTCATTTTTAAAACAATAATAATAAGTAATTTTAATATTTGTTAGTGTGAAAAATATCACAAATGTGTATGTTTTTATATATTCAATATGAACTCCATCTTAATAAAGGTTATATTTTATTAAATAATATTTGTTTAGGTTTTTTTTTAATTATGAACCAATAGTACAATTATAAAAAAGGTATTAATTATCTTAATAATTTGTATAATAATTTTAGCTTATTATGATATAATTAAAGCAAATGCAGGATATTTTATGAATTCATTCTTCTTTTGGTTCTTCAGAACTTTGGAAAGGAGGTCCAGCAGCTTCATCAACTTCAAGAGATAATTCTTCTGGATCTGGAGCACGGGGCAAAAATTCAGAATCTGGGTACATTTTGGAAAAAATTGATTTGGCCTAAAACATATAAATAAAACTACATAAGCATCCGTTTTAAAATAAATACAAATAAACTGTACTTGTTTAACAGCAAATTCATAATCAACTTCTAAATCCGGTCCTGAACATAAATGAACATTACTTGGAACATTCTGAGAAAGATCATATTCCGAAGTTTCAGGACAATTAAAGTATAGGGCATATAAAACTTGAGGTTTTAATGCTTCATTCTGAATGACAAATTCTGTTTTTGTGGCAGAAGAATCACCCTAAAAAAAACTCATATATTAATAATTAGCTAATAACAAAGGCAAATTAAAAAAAAAAAAAAAGTACTTGTCAATTTTATGACATAAATTTAAAATTACCTCTTTTGGTGTTTGAGTTGCCTGAGTATCAGTATCAATTCTAGAAGTAGTACCATCAGCATATTCAGAATGCAATAATGCTTCAACAGCAGGTTTTAAATCGTTAATTGCGTTATCTATTTGCTTAGTTGTCATGTGTAATAAATCTAAAAATGTAATAATACTGATAATTATGTTAATAATAATAATAATAGTTACAATAATTATAATTATAAAATATAACAAAATTATAATTTATTTAAAAAAAGGCATGCCTAGTATTCTTACATAGTCCTGATGGACAAACATGAGTAGATGGTCCAGCTTCAATTACTGTAATGGGCTCTTTCCCTTTAATTGGGAACTGGAGTAATGTCAATGATTCCTTATCTGTGGTTGATATTGATCTATCAATAATGAAGATACCTCTAGAAAGACCAGATTTTGGTACAGAACCTAAGAATTCTGGAGGAGCATCAGCAACACCTAACACGAGGTGATCGCAATCAAGTCTCGATCCATCAGATAGAATTGCTTTACATTCATTATTCTCAACAATTACACTATCAGCTGCCCGTTTTAGATGATAAACACCACCAAAAACAGCACATAGCCTAAAAAAACATTTTTTTTATTTTTCAAAAATGCAACAAAATAATAATTTGAACATACCGACAAAAACATTGAGGAAGTTCTCCAGTACCATACATAGGCCATAAAAATGGTGTGTTACCATAACGACCGAGACTACTCAGAAAACGTTGAGTTCTTTCAACACCAACCATACATGGTGTTGTATCATTTGACATAGCAATAGCATATAAAACATAATGCATAAGATTCTCAGTCAAACCTTTGCTTTCTAAATATTGTTTTAATGTTTTATCTTCAAATCCTTTAAATTCATCGTTCTCTGGTTTATATTCAACACACAAAGTCAAAAGTTGCATTAGTTGACGTTTTTCAATGAGTCCAACATTTTTTGTAGCAAAGACATCTGCTCGAGAACATGGAACAGTTTCCAATTTATCAGATTGCCACGTGAGGATACGATTAACACATCGAAATTCAGCATAACGAGAAATATTTGAAGAAATAAGAAGTTCCACTAATGTACCACGGGAAAAAAGTAACTAAAACATATTAATAAAATAAATAATTTTTATTGATAAATAATATTTCAAAATATCTTTAAAAGAATAGCATACTAACTTTAGGAGCTAAATCCAAGTTAAATTTACGTCCCAAACTTTTAAGTTTAGCCTGACACCAAAGTTTATCATTATATTTTAATGTAGCTTCAGTTTCATTCTGTTTATCCTTACTTTCTTTAGGACTATCTTCAGTTTGAGTATTTTTAGCACTAAGTAAATTACCAACTGATGGAAGTTTTCTATAATAGTAAAGACAGTTAAAAACTAATTATATAAAAATATAATTTCTTTAATCATACTCAGGTATAAACCATTTTTCTTCAATATTAAATACGGTCGAAAATTGATTGCCTATAGTTACAGACTTTTCACTGTCTTGTACTAAGGGAGAAGAAGTTTTAACAGAACCTTCTGTTTTACCATTTCTACATTCATCCAACCACTTTTGAAGAGCTTCAAATGTAAAAGACGCCCACATACCACCGTAATAATCATTTCTGTAATAATAAATGCCAATAGACTTAAAAATTACAAAATTAGTGGTCAAATAATTAAATGTTACCTATCTAAATGTAAAACCCGTTTTCCAATTCGACTAGCAGCAGCAGCAACAATTGACTCTGTCATACCTAAAATTATTTTTAGATTATAATACAAATTGTCATTAGCAAGATTTTTATACCAATCCAAAAGTTAAATACCTTATAAAAGTGTAATGATAATCACATGATCATAGTGATTTAATTTTTTAATAATAATTATTTCAACAGAATATCTTTTTAACATTGCCATCATACACCATACTCATAAGTTAACATTATATTTTTTTTATTATGTTAATTGGATAAATAAATTTTTTTTAAAAAGTAAATAATTTCCATACTATTCAGCCTGTTGTGTCTGATACACTAAAATAAATGGTGGGTCATTTTACTCTTATTTATACAATTATATATAAAATTCATATCAGAAAACCTAATTAAACCCAATTTTTTTTATGTAAATACATTTATTTTAGATATATAATAATATATGTTATAAACACTATTATAGTATATTGAGAAACAAATTGAAAGAAAAATTCAAAATAAACTAAAACAATTGATTTCATAACAGACAAATTTAAAAACTTTTAAAATTATTGATTAAATTAAACCTCTTTTTTTTAATTAAAACATGTATAGTTTTATTTTTTTAGTGCTGAGTAAAAGACAGAATATGTATTTTTCTATTTTATTATTTATTTCATGTTTCATAACAAAATAAAGAAAATTTACTTTCCCATTACCATGACCAATGGACCATGTAATCTCCAACTACACAACCGTTCAATGAACTCTTTGCAAGAAAATAAGTAGAACACCTACTCTTTCTATCTTTAAAATAAAATTACAAAAAAAACGATTTAATGTTTATAACAAGTTTATGATAAAATAATATGCTTAATACCAAAATTTAGTATATTACAAAATATTTGTAGTTATTAATATATGTATTGAAAACATAAAAAATATACTATTTTATAACTTAAATACATATTTCTAACTTACTATTTAATAATAATGAATCAATCAAATATGATTCCAAATAGTTTTCTTTAACTTAAATAATGTGTATTATTAAAAATAAATAAGTAGGTAATAGATACCAACAATATTTTATCAATTATTAAATAATATTAAGACACTAAATATAGTACCTAATAACAATAAGCTTTTAAAAATAATTAATTAAAACTGCTAACTTAAGCTGTATTAGTCATAAGAAAAATGTATTTTTAAAACTCCACCTACTACTAAAGGAAGAAATTTTAAATTATAGATACATTTATTTTCATGAGAAAATTCAATATTTTAAATAATTGTTGAATTACACAATGAGGTTGAAAGAGTTTTAAATCAATTTTAAAAGATACAAATATTCAATACAATCAATTTATAGACTAGCAAGAGGCAAACAAGTACCTATTATCGCATTCGCTTTAAGTTGATCATAAAAACATGGCGAGTATGTTGTACTATGTACACACAAATAAAATGAAAAATATAGTATCCGCGTTTAAAAGCATTAAAAACAAATCACACATATGGAATACATTACCAGTGCCAATGACGATCACTTCATACTTGGATGGCAAGTCGTCTTCCATGATCAATATAATCGCTGGATTTCACTGGATAACAATTCGTAATATCCAAACTCACGTCGAAACAGCGAATTCGATTAACGACGATATTGTGAACTGAGACAGTTGTGATCACAGACGTCAGACGGCAACGTAACGCAGAGTTAAAAATGAATAATTCAGTAATTTACCATTACTGTCGGTAATCAGTTTATGGTACGTTATCACTTGGTATTTTATCGAAATAAGATATTAGAAACCAGAGAAATGGTAACAGCAAAAAACCTTATACTAGGTTATATAGTTTATGGGACGGTAGATTATAATGTACCATGGTTTTTAAGCATGGCACTAAAAATGTTGCCCCGTTATTCTGCAGTATATTATTGATTAAAATATTATTATTATAAATCAGCATAATAACCTAACCTTACTATTTTGCGTGCTTCCCTGATTTTCAAGTTGTCTATGTTTGTCGTACATTCGTAGGCATTATTGGTTGGCTGAAACTTTGAATCGTTCTGCTCTTAAGCTAATCGGCTTTCCGGTGCTGTTTGTTAAGGTGTTCACAAAACTATAAGAAATAAGTGTTAATCTATAGATAAATATAATACTTTAAAGAAATTAATAATAAAAATTAGAAACTTATATTGTTCTGTACTATTCTTCGAATGTAAATTTTTTCCTATTAAATCAAATTTATTTTGAAATAAAGTTATTTTTTTCGATCGATAACCAATCAAGTTTGAATTCAGTGACTTTAGTTAATTGCAATGTCTCAAGAAAAAGCTGTGGAAAAAGTTTCATTACAGTTCATCATTCGGGCTCAAACAGTTGAAGGCTTAGAATTGGCCAAAATCATTAATCAGGCTTTGAATTCTGGTGATATATTTGTGTTTGCCGAACTCTTAGAATGCCCAAACGTTCTTGCACTTGAATCTACTCCGTATGCTCCATATTTGTATGCATTACGTTTGTTCTCACAAGGTACATATTTGGATTATTTAAGCGCAGAGAAATATTTACCGGAACTCACTATGTCTCAGAAAAAGAAACTTCAACACTTGACAATTGTTACATTAGCCAATAAGATGAAAAAAATTCCTTATGATGTTCTTTTTAAAGAGTTAAATGTAAATCATATCAGAGATCTGGAAGATTTAATAATAGAAGCAATTTATTGCAATTTGTTTACGGGTGTATTTGATCAAAAAACTGGCTTCCTGAATGTTGATTGGACGGTTGGAAGAGATGTTGGAAGCATTGATATTGACAATATGATTGACACATTAGAACAATGGGCTGATTCATGTAAGACTATTTTGCAAACAGTTGAAGTCTGTATTGTTAATGCTAATCAAACAAAACAGAATGAACGTAAACATCAAGCTGATGTAAAAAATGAAGTAGCCAATATTAAAAAGGCATTAAGAATCCAATTACAAGATGAAGAAATGTCTGTTCATACTAGTGGCTATTCAAAAATAACTGGTAAAAACATAAAATACAGTGGAGATAAACATTCAAATAAGTAAATAACTATACATTAATATTGTACATGATATAATTTTTAATAACAGTTATTACTTTTTTATTTAAAATAATTGTATTATTTGAAACGTTTACCTAATAAGCTATAAGTATATAATATATAAATAATAAAGCTAAGACTAGATTTAGTATTTATAATCTAACTTAAAATATTTACTTATTGAATATATAAATTATTTTTAGAAAACATAACTGTTACCTATGATTAATATTGTAAGAATCTTTAAAAAATAAATTTAATTTAGTTTACCTTCTATCTCTAGTTTTGTCATACATTTTTTTTTTTTTTTTTGTTTAAATTTAAAATATTAAGCATTAATTAATCAAACTAAAATAAAATATGCAAGCAGTCTTGTATTCAATGTTCGAGTTACATACTTAATCATAAGATATATACATGCCACTTGTATGCAATTTAACTGGCATTGTATTAGACATATTTTACTATTTTAGATTTAAACAATTACTATTTTAATGTAAAAAAAAAAAAAAATGTAGTTTTAAATAAGTGCACAATAATATATTCTTATGATATTTATTTATATTTTATTTATTTACGCATACCTCAATCAGTAACCATTAAAATCAACATCTCAAACAAAATAAAACATTTCTTTAATAACCAAGATGTGAAATGCATATTGCTCCAGCCAAAAGAACAAAACTATATTGACCCTAAAAAATGCAATTATTTAATTTATTTCACCTTAATATACTAATAAGTACAAACCCATAAAATGTCAATTGAATCAGTTTGGTACTATGCTTAATAGTAAGTGAGTGCATTTTATTTTAATTATGTATACATGTATTGAGAAACTTTTAGAATTCCAATTGCTATTTTATTATAATTAAAGAGCGGATTTTTAGGTTCTTAAAAGCTTAAAATATGATACAAATACATATGTTCTAAAAATACCCTAAAATAATCTCTAAATATTCCTTAAACTTATAAATATGCAGATAATATGCTCTAAAAATACTCTACATTTTCCTTAAACTTGTAAATATGTGATAATATGATTTTTTTTTTCTTAAATAGTTCAACAAAAACAATAAATTACTGTTATGGGCAATTCCTTTGGTAACGGGTAAATTATTTAAATATAAAAATTTAAAACAGTTCATACATAAGAATATAAATATAATAACATTATATATAAAAAACAAAATAGTTAAATAAAAACAATGAACAACTTGTATGCACCATTACTTGGTAAAAGATAAATTATTTAAATGTCAAAAATAGATAACAGTTCCATATATAAGAATATAAATATAACAATAAAAAAAATTTTTTCTTAGAAAAATCACAACTCGAAAAATTAATAAAATATGCTTTTTTATGAACAATAATTGAATATATTCAAAAATATGAAAAATAGACTAAATATGCAAAATTAATACTTTCCTACAAACTCTATGATGGATAAATCGTTCACATTATTTATCCTCGTAAATCTACATAAAGCCAATAAAAATATGTAAAAACCTAAAGATCCGCTCTCTAATTATATTATTATATTATTATATATTATATTATATTATTATATTATATTATATAAAAAAAATAAATTTATTAATTTTGTTAATATTGTTTATTTTGAACATCATTGTTTTTTAATTACTTTGGGCTTGCATAGACTTGAAATTTCGATTTATGAAGCAAAATATTTTTAAAAAAAAATTAATGTAACCCACTTACAGTGGCGTAGCCAGGGGGGTTTAAGGGGTTCTACCCCCCCCTTGACCTAAAAAAAGGGAAGACTATTATTGTCCTATCAATGTCTTTATGATCTATTTTTTTCTTTTCATCAACTCTTTTTTTTTTTTTTTTATTTAAGGAAATAATTTTCAATCTGTAATATTTATATACAATACGATAAGTAAATATGATAATATAAGGAACATAACGTGAAATGGCGTTCCACCATGGCCCCATACCATCTAGCTTAAGATAGAGAGTTTTACTTTGTTTTTTTCAAATTAGCGCAGGTGACTTTATGATCTATGATTTATATATGATGAGCATTATTTTAAATAATCAGTTTAAATTTTGTAATGGCTTTTTGGCGAGCAAGTGACTTTATATCGTGTAGTACTATTGTCGCGTACCAATCGATATCGGTGTTGATTGTAGAATGCAGTGATATCCACGGTTTAAGATAGAAAGGTTACACATCGGCGTATACTACGCAATGTTAGACCGTGGTGTACGAGAGTTCTTATCTAACATACGAAAAAGTGAACTACTACTAACGCTCACAGCGGTTGTTAATTGGAGCTACAATATTATAATATGCCCATATCCCACCAAAATATTAAATTTTTGAATATTCAATTATGAATATAATTGAGTTAATAACAAAATTATTATCACGATTCACTGTAGTCTGTGTTTGGTTATTGGTTTTGTGAATTTTCTAATACGTTTATTACCTTAGATCATTATGCCTAATTATTGTGCAATTCGTGAGTCACATAATGTTCCTAAAACTCTTTTTGGCATTCCTAAAGAAGACAAATTAAAAAAACTTTATTTATTTGAGTTACAAAATTAATTCCACAAGTTTAACGTTTATTTTTAGATACATCCACAAAAGCCTCACATACAATGAAAAATGTATAAAAATTTATTTAACTATGATTCCCAACAATTAATTAAAGTGTGTCCTAAAATTAATAAAAATTATTTAGAAATTAATAATTTGGCAAAAATGAAAGTTAAATATGCCAGTCAGGTAGTTGAATTTTGAAAATATATTTGTTCTTCTTTTAGTTAATTGATTGTTATAGATTTTCAGTTAATCGATGGCAGTTGGAATTGAGTTTCATAAGAAAAAAACATTAACAAGGGTTTGAAAATTATGAAGAAACGATAAAATTTACCCTTTTTACGAACAACTTATTTTATGCCCTTAATAGAAAATATCCGGCTAAAGGGATTAAGGAAAAAAGCAATGATTTAGAGGTCTTATTAAAGTTGTATGCTGTGTACTAATGGTTTCATAACATTTGTGGTTTATTTAACAAGAAATTATTTAATTATGATTAATAACTAATAATGTACTAATGTTATATATTAGTATAATAATAGTACAATAGTATTATAATAAGTAATAGGTACCTATGTTATAATATTTTAAATGTAATTTGCACATTATATAATATATTGATGTAGATATTGTATTATGTGGACAGTGTAGTGTGGACCAAATTAGTTATTCTGTTTAAGGTATTGGAAGGATACAAGGACAGTTCTATCCAACTTAACAAAGTGTTGCATGATTGTATGTACATGTATTCTACTTTTTTATACGGGAAGTATTTTAGATAGTTGTATTTTAAAATATTTGTTAATTGTAACTATACAATTTTTATGAACAAAATAATCAATAATTACAGTCTTAACAAAATAATATTTTCTTTTAAGGTATTAAAAGATGTACTAAAATTATTGTAAAATGGGAATGTGCCAAACATAGAATTGAAATATTTTTTAATATTTTTGTTTTATTTATTGCTATGTAGATGAGGCAGCATAGTTACACTAAAACAAATGAGTGAAAAAAATTAAATTGTACAAAAAAAATTATCAAAATTAGTTACTTCTTAAATTAAATGTTATTACTTATTTTAATTGATTAAGAAATTAATTGAAAATTTAAAAAAAAATAAATATTAAATTTATTTAGTCTTGAATTTATATTATATTAATAATATTATATTTTCCTTTTTGCTTGTTAGAGAATTTGAAACCATATAGTTACCAGTTAAATCCAGAAAAAGTATATTAGAGGTTATATATATTTAGAATAAAAAATATTAATTTTTACAATAGGCACTACGCACGAATTAAGTGGTTTTAAAAAAAAAAATAAATATCAAGATTTAGTTTTGTGAACTGTGACCATCCATTGATGAATCTTCATAGCATTTATTTTGTTCCTGTTTTTTTTTTTTTTTTTTGTAACTTTTGTGAACACGATTATTCAAAATAAGAATACAATTTTTATGATGTTTATGTAAGCAACTAGATAGCACTATAATGTAACATTTAACAGATTTCTGATAAGAACAATTGGTGATCACTAGGGCTTGGATTTTAAAGCAAATGCTTCTTTTTATATATTTAAGATAGAAATCTAATTTTTATACATAAATTCGTTTCACGTTAATCTGATTCGAAATAAACGAATTTATTTTTAGTATAAATGCTTTTTTTTGCTTTTTCATTGCTTTTTTCAGCTATTCTAGCTGTGGAATTTTTATTTGTTTGTTATGATATAGTAATGAAAAAAAATGTTTATATAATTTATAAGAAATGTGAAAACCCACAATAATAATTATAAAATTAATATAAATTTAGATATTATATTTTACCCATCGCCGGACCGTGACCGTACCATTAAAGTCCGTTCACACGATCCCGAATCGGCGGTTTTGCCGTATCGTTGATCTTACCGTATAAGCCAGTGTCAATATAATTTAAATGCATATATTCAGACGACACGGCATTGTACTATATTCGGTAAAATTACCGATTAGGTCGATTTTGTCATTCGGTTTTGTCTCTGCAAATCGTTTTCGGTCGTACGGTAAAAAAAACCGATTCGGTTTATCGTGGCAATGTATTTATAGACACTGCGTTCAGGTAATTCGATATTTTGACCGATAGTGTGTCATTTTTTGTCTGTGCTACTGTCGAATAATTTGGTATCGACATTCGAAAATAATTAAAGAATTTTGTTTTGTCCTGTCGTAATTGACACATTAGCGTATTAAAAGAGCCCAAAATATTTTTTCGTCTCACAATAGGATGTACCCAGAATCTTCGATTTGAAATCCGTTGCGGTTGACGATACTTACGATACCAGTATATTAATATAAATGTATTCAAGTTCATCTTCTCGCGTCTTAATGCGAATACGATATAAATGCAACTGAAATTCGAGTACGGTGTAGGGTTGAGTACGGTGTACGGTTAAATTACCATACCGTCTGAACACTAACCGAAAGATACCGAATCAAGAAAATAAAATCAAATAATATAATATATATATAATAATCAAATAAATCAAATAAAATCAAGAAAATAGCCGATACGGTAAAAATATCGAATCGTGTGAACGGGCTCTTAGTGTGGAACGACCATGTAATGTAATAAATGTAATGTATAGATTATCGATCTACAGACATAGCTTAGAAGTCTATAGCTTATCGGTTATTGAATATAGCCTGTAGAAACTACTCTCAGTACTCACTAATCGAAAAACATCGATATCGAAGTATGCACCGATTACTTCCGTAGATATAGAGCGGTCATTTACTATGTATAAAAACATCCTGTCAGACAATAGAGTCAGTTTCACTTCTGAAAATCTTGCCAAATATATGGTAGTAAATTCTTTTTTTTAGTTTAAATTAATTTTTAAATTTTTTTTATTCAGTTATATAAAATTATAACTAATTTATGTTAATTTTTTGTTATGCTTTTTTTTCCTTTTTTTTTAAAAATAAATAAGCTTCATTTTTACTTTTTTTAAACAATTTTGTGCTTTTTTTGTTATTTATTATGCTTTAAAATCCGAGCCCTAGTCATCACAAAATAATGACTCGTTGTGCAACCATTCTATCTAAAGCAGGCGTGCATCCAGGATTTTTGTTTGGGGGGGGGGGCTTAAACATTTCTATTACAAGTAAACAATTGCCATTAATTTTCTATTAATGTATAACTAACATAATAATAAGACTTGAAAAAAAATTTCACTTTTCATACCTATCATTGTAATATTATACTTGTGACGATATGATATAATGTATAATTTAATGTAAAACATATTTTTTGGGGGGGGGATACAGCCCCAAAGCCCCCCCTTGGGTGCACCACTGATCTAAAGCCATGGTGATAACTCATTAGTTATAATCATGGTTTAAGATATACTATATATATATATATATATATATATATATTTAAGTCAAGGTGGATTTGATTTGATTGAGCTACCTCGACTTAAGTATATCTTAAACCGTGGTTTTAATTTTACGATTCAATTAGGGATGGCAATTTTTTTGTGAACATCGATGTTTTTAAAAAAAACAAACATACATTTTATAGGAAAAAAATTATTTTTCTTTGCCATAGTCCACAAGCTAAATTAATTATAAAAAATTTAAATTTAAACATCAACTCAATTTATTTACTTATTTATTAAAAAAATTTAAAAAAACATTGTGTAAAAAATTAAATTTAAATTAAATGAATACACTTCAAGTCAAATATAATCACAATAAATTCCAATGTTATAACAACATTTTTTTATACGTTATAATTTGAAATTATAAAACCAATGTTTTCATTCATATCGAAGACAAAATTGATTGGCCGTTGTTTAAAAAAATCAATTTTGATGCCGATTTTCCACATAACCGGTTTCATTTATTTATTTTTGGTAAATATTTTAGTTTATTTCTATAATTAGGTATTACAAGGCTATTATGATATTTTTCTAGCGATAAGACTATCCAAGTGTTCCGAAAATCATCAACAAATCTAGAGGATTCTTCAGTGGATTGATTGGAGTTTAGAAACACCTTTTTGGGGCATTGCGTTGTAACGAGTTGGTTAATACGTTTGACCGCCATCAACCGCTATGATATTAACAAATTATCAATTATATTTAAGCAATAGTCGATTGTTATGAATTAACTAATAAAATACAACATATCATTGAATAAAATATTAATTGAAAATCGTAAATTAAATCTTCAAAATGAATTTTCAAAACATATCTCATTACATATTTTTTTTTAAATCATCTTCAAGAAATGAATACTTGTTTAGATAAGAAAAAAACGTTATTGTTAAATCAACTTAAAAATACTAAAGCCCGTATTACTACCTTTATGTTAGTTACGAGTTTGTAAAATGACTTAGACTTTAAAATTAATTTAAGACTAAATTTTAATCGAAATATTGATTTAGTTGAAGCCATGTCATTAGCAGATAATGTTTCTAATGTGTTAAATAATATCAGAAATAATGCTGAAGAAAAATTTGAAAAAATATTCATGGAAGTGAAAGAAAAATGTATAGGTATTACTTGATATTGAAATAACTTTACCTCGTGTTACAAACATACAGAAAAATCGTTTTAATGAAAAAACTACTTGCCCAAACGATTACTATAAAATATCATTGTTCATTCCATTTTTAGATAACTTTATTAGACAGCTTCATGATAGGTTCATTGTGCATAAATATCTGATCGTCAATTTTTGGTGTTTCTTGCCAAACAATAATTTGCCAGATAAAGAAGAAATATTAAAATTTGGCAAAAATGTATTGTGAAGATTTAAAATGTAGTCCTAATTCGGTAATTGGAGAAGTATTAACATGGACACAAATGTTTGTTGGAGTAGAAAAACTATAAAATGCATTGGAAGCTTTTATAACATGTAACCCACTCATTTTTCCATTGACATATACTTTTGCAAATACAAGCTACACTTTCCAAACTACAGCAAGCAGTGAAAGGTCATTTTCTACCTTAAAAAGACTTAGAACTTACCTCAGAAATACTACTACAAAAAATCGACTAAATAGTTTAGCATTACTAAATATTCATCGTGAAATAGTTTTAACTACAGATGAAGTTCTTGATGACTGCTAAAATCTCAAGAAAAATAAGATTGCTATAACTTATACATTATACCTAATTTAGAATGTAAATGCCAATATTATATAAATATTTTTAATTTATACTTATACTTATATTACAATTTAATAAAGATTTTTTTTTATACTCTTACCTGTGTATCTATATTTAGTAATAAATGTATAATCTGTACAAGAGTTATAAATAATAATAACGTTCACAAATAGGTCTAATCAAGAATGTATTATTCAATTTGCATACAACTCAGTGGTCCATTTACAGTTTTACCATACCGCGGCAATAAATTTTAGTGATGTGCAAAAAAATAAACCCCCTCCCCTCGGATGATTCCTAGCTACGTCACTGGCCACTGGCTTTGCTGTAATGTTTATTAACAAAGGCAAAAAATAAAAAATAAAAAAATAAAAAAATTAATAAAAAACCCACTGAATATCTAAAACTATCTAATATAAAAACTTTATTTAAAAATTATCATATTTAAATTGTTTATTACATTTATTTTGATAATTTACATATTTAAAGCAATATTAATAAGTAAAAATATTTAAAAAAATTTTAAACTCTAATACCACATTATAAAAAAAATTTAACATACAGTACAAAAAATTAAAAAAAAATTAAATGATTTAATCAAATCAATTAACTACATAGTAAAATTTAATAAGTTTTACAATGAAGATATTTTTTAAAAAATTGGAAGAAAGTTAACAATTGACCAAAAAATGTTGAAATATAGTTTTTGTACTATAATGTAATAAATAAGATTTAAATTTCAACTAAAAAAATATCTCATGGTTACAAATTTTAAAAATTAAGCTCTAATTTATTGATTTATGTATTGATCTCTATTAAACCAAAATATTTCTTATGCCTGGTAAATTTTAATATTTTTATTAAAATCATCACAATTTCTTTAAACATTGACCAACTTCTTCTTCATCTTTCCTTATCTGTAATAGTCAATTTAAAAATTTAGGGAATGGGTGCCATAAATTATGTATAAAAATTATGAACATTCAGCATTTATACATTATATTAGTCTTCATACTTTATACAACTATTCTTATTTTACATACCTTTTTAATATAGTTTTTCTTATAAAAATCGCCAAATAAAACCAACATTGTGAACATATAAAAAACAAGTAAATACTTCATCCATAATGGCCATTTACAACCACTGTGTATGGCATTAATTCCTAATGGCAGAGCAAATGTAAACTGAGCCTAAAATAAAAAATGTAATGAATAACTTTTAATGATTCACTAAAAGTATAAATCAATTAAACATATTAATTTAAAAATTTTACCTAAGTATTCATTTTAAATTAGGTACTTTGTATATCTGCATTACAAATTAATTAAATATATATATATATATATATATAAGTATGTATATTATGTAATTACTAACTTTTTTAGAACAAACATGGGAGTGTTACTAATCAATAAGATGTAAAATATGTGTTATGAATCTCTTAAAATTTTAAAAACATTTATTTTGGTATCTTGAGTATTAAAAATCGATAAGAATACAAGGTTTTAGGCTCTTCTCGCTTTGCTCAACTCAATTATTAAGAATGTGGTATTATTTAAAACAGTTTTAAGTTGATCTTAGTATACAATCGTGACCCGTAACAGTTCAATAATAATATTAGGTTTGAAATGCCAATATTTATTGAAATTTTTAATATCAAGTATATTATCTACTTTTAGAGTTATAACTTATTAGTGTGTATTAATATGCTTAGTAATAAAAGCTTTAAGATGATTGTAACAGTATTATTAGTATTATGAGTATTTACCAACTGAATGATTGTTACGAATTTTTTGTATTTCATGATTTTCGTACAGTGCATTGCAGCTAGCGTGTAATACAAGTACATTATAATGTGTACAAAACTATTAATTAAAATAGGTAGGAATGCTGAGCCACCTGGTACGTATTTGGTACCTATCCATGAGAATACAAACATTGTTGAATGATGGTAAACGTGAAGAAAAGATAATTGATTGTTTTTCTTTCGAAGCATAAAAAATATGGTGTCCAACAATTCGAAAAAATTCGTCAAATAAAACAACCATACGGCCACCGCTATCTGAAATAAATGTGAGAATTTAAATTTATAAAAACATTCACGGCGCCTACGATTGTTCAAAAGTAGTTTTTAATTTTTGTGATTTTTTATTTATTGGGTTGTGAAATGATCGACGTCAATTTTTACCCTGAGTTCAGCTTCTGGGTTGACGTAGGTTATTGGCTGACACATCCAACTGTAGTTCAGTTTGATAGCCATCAGTAATAACTGTAAACAGAGATAAAATATATTTTCATTGTGCGTATTTAATTATGCTTGGAATACAACTTTTTTTTACCTCTGTAAAGATGAATACATTTACCAATATCATAATAACGTTGTAAATTATCAATATGTATTTTAAATTGTATGCTGAACGTTTCTGCATGTACCGCGGAGTCAGCCATACTATTAATAAATAACAAATGGTTATGGTTAATGTAGTAAGCCCCGAGTTGACCATCCACCAACCTTTAGTTCTACTATCTATAACAATTCAGTGCACACATAATATAGTTACTAATCTGCATTCATGTACCACTGTAAATTAAAATAGTGCGATACAACACTTAATTATAGTACTCCATATTCAAATACTATCAGAACAAAAATTACACGACTTTCATTATTCTAACTCACCACTTAAGGATTCTGACCATTGGTTAAACTGTTCCACTTGTTCAAATATTGCAGATATGTTATAATCCAAACGGAATATTGTATATCCCCTAAAATGACATTGTTTCAACAATAAACAAATTATTAAAATATATTTAAAGGAGACACCGTATAATTGTATGTACGCGTATAAATATAACATAATTATATGAATAACTTAATAACATCATAGTATTTACTATTGATCATTGAACACAATAAGAGTACAGGTATTAAAATATGTGAACTTTAGCCACAACTAGCTTCCCTAAACGGCGTTACATTTATGTTTTTTATATCCACGCATGCAATTAGACTATTATATATTTTTTCTTTAAAAAATTATTATTAAGGAACGGATTTAAATGCAAATGCATATGTGTATTGGATTAAGTTTTTTGAAATCTGATGAGAATTGTCCCCGATTTAGACCATTATTAAAGAAATAACATTAATTTTATTTTGCATATTTCATGCATATTTGTAGTTTTATAGTGTACATTTTTATTTATAGCATATATATTTGTTTCACTTTATATTTTTACGTTCACAGCCACAAAATATAGATAAAATAAAGACCGGTCGTTATAGCCAAAAATAAAATGACATATGGTAGACTACATATGAGTATACACAAATTATATTAATATAGATAAATTCATATGATTGATTGAACACTTGAAGTTAATGGAATTGCGGAAACCAATCAGTCAGTGCGTATATTTTTAAGTATAAAACTGTTGCAGTTTTTGTGATTTTTTTTTTTTTTACTATCCGTTCGTAACTTGAAAATGTTTAAAATAAAAACACTAATGATTCGTTTACAAACATACGTAAACGAACATAATGATATTTTTAAAAACTATGGTTTAGTTTTGTATTACAATATTTCTGAAATTTTTACATGATTTAAGAAAAATATTTTTGATTTAATTATAAGTGCATATTTTGCAGCATATTACACCATTTTTTGGAAGCATATTTTGTGGATCTAATGTGCATATAAATCCGTTTCCTAATCATTACATATATGTAAACAATATTATTGTTGTATACTATAAAATGCAATTAAATCCATATATTGAATGTTCTCAAACGAACTAAATACTATTATTTGATTGTTGTTATAATGTTTTATATTTTTTTCTTGACCAAACTCTGGTGATAAACATGCATCAAAAGTCTCATAAAGTATTTCATATGATCAGCATTTAAGCCCCGAAAATGCTAATTATAAACCGGTATAAAAACATAGGTAATTTAATTTAACTGCTAAGAAAAAATATAAATCGTTATTACTCTACGTATTAAGAAATGCAAAACCACGAGTAATTCAATTTGAAGGTGTTAGTCAAAAGATTTTAGTGTTTAGTACGTCATGTCAAAATATTTTAAAATTTAAAATAGTCGAGTTTTTTTTTGGTTACTGTAAGAAGGATCCCAATATTATCGTTATCGATATTACCATATCAACAAACATAAGTGCAAATATTTTTAATAATTATAGATCCTTAATTAAATATAATAAACAGTAATGCAGGGCCGTATTTACAAATTTTACATCCCGGGTCAACCATATTTGAACGCACCTTCCTCCAAAAAAGAAATACAATTTTTTATTTTTTTAATAGATTTTCAGTTATAATTTTTTATTTAACTACTTATTTATTTTAATTCATTACGCACATAATTTTACTGAGAATTTTTATTTATTATTTATTTTATAATATTTACAATATTTATTAACACAATATAACACTGGTCTATAGCGTTGCCTGGCCGCCACCCCCCTAAATGGATCACCTGGGTCAGATTTTCCCGTTGCCCCTTTTTAGGTAAATACGGCCCTGAAGTAGTACCTACCGCAGATTAAATAAAACGTTGTGAACTTGTGTTTTTTAATATATCAAAACATAATAATAAAGATGATATTATATAGGTAGTTCAGAATTTATTAAAGTTCGAACAACATCAATTATTATAAAAATTGAATAAATTATGGTTGATTGTGACTATAAATTATAACTACGAATTTTTTTCCAGCCTATATATTATAAAATATTGCAAAAACATATCGGGTGTTTAAAGATTTGTTGTGCTCTTGATAAATATGCTTTTAAAATAGTTTATTTAAATCGATAATAAATGTTACTTTGAATACGAAATACGTAATTACATACTCGTTTGGCGGTGCGGTATACATCATACATACGTATATATATGTGTGTATTATGTTGGTGCGCAAGACGAATAGGTTGTTTTGCAGTTTAGTTACACTTTGATTTTAATTAATAAATAATATAAAAAACAAAACAAAAATGAATTACGAACGAATTAGTATTTACATTATACTATCTCTATTTTGTATTAAATAATTATACCAAGACGAAAAGTAAAACGGTGTAAAAAAAAATTAAGCGAAAAACGTAAAAAAAAAAAAAAATTTAAAAACAAAATCGGTATGCAGTGGCAACTAGTGGAGTGTGTTCCATACTATGTGTTTTATACATTGTAGACACCCCGATTGCGGCGTACCCGTACAGACGAATGAGAGGAGATCAATGTTCGACGAAATATTGCGCATGCCCCGTAATTGCTGTAGAGTTTGTGCGCAAAACGTTGTGCATGCGTCGCGTTATCAACGGCAACGGTTATGGATAAGGTTACAACATTTCAAATCCGATGTACGTTAAAATAATAAAATTAAATGCGTTTATGAACCGTGTACGCAATACATAAGAAGCATTCAAGTCAGTCAGCGTTGGAGCTATCATGAACAAAGTGTAATTTAAAAGTTATACAGTTTGTACTGCGAAATTTGCAAGACTTAAGTGCCCCTTGGACAATTCTGAAGCTACTTAATAAATCAATATTGATAAATATTATGTATAAATCAATTTGTTATTATTAAAGCACGTAAAATATTATGAATTTGATTATATACGTGTTAGGAAGATAAAATAGGTGATGTAAAAAAACGAGACGAGTGGAGGTTTAGGACAAGGGTGGCGGACCCTAAATATTTGGGAGAATGGTAAAGGAGAAGAAGTAGAAGAAAATACATGTTAGTAAGTTATAATAAATATAATAATTTAAAATAAATTAATTAATAACAATAATAATATAATGTGGTAACTATAGTTTTCATAATGACAAGCTGGATTTTCTTTTATTAACATATGTTTATCAATTATCTGTTTATTATTAAATATTTATAGTTTCATAGAAAATATTCACATCCGACAGAACTATATTACATGTGTATTTTTAATTTTCGTGTAAAGATAATATTAGTCAGAGGACGTAGTTTATTTACTGCCACGGGGGCCCTTTCCTATATAGCTACGTTACTGATTCAACTAGAACATCAGCACATATTTAGAATTGTGTACCCCCATCTCCTCATGTCGATGTACTTCAGACAATGACTATACCACATATATCCCCATAAATTCTTTTATTTTTATTAATAAAATTATTTTCTTCAATTATAAAATAAAGATAAAATAAGAATAAAAATCAGCCACGTATGATACTGTCAATAATTAATGGACTTTTGCCTTATTCTCTTTAATTTTATAAATACGATGTTGACACCAGATTTGAGATTTAGCCCCTTCCCCTCATATAAGTACAGTATTAGGCAATTCAAATTCAGTAAGTACAATCAGATTTTTCGAATCCCTTATCTCCCTGGTCTGCTGACATAATACTTAAATGTTCCCATACATCAAGGTAGTGTAGGAACGTTATCTTAAGAATTATAATAGCTCATGTGTAATGCATTTTTTTTTTTTTATAATATGAAAGTTATAAAATATGTTAAAAAAAAAAAAAAAGAAAAAACATTATTTTTTCATTTTCATTTTTTACCATTATTTAAAACACGATTATTCAAATAATTTAATTTAAAACAATACACAAGTATTATAATTACTATTTTTTTTCATATGGTGAAACATTATTATGTTACATATTAAATTACATATGTAGAAATAAGTAATATTTTTTACAAAAACATTGTTTGCATATTATATTATATTGAAATCATTTTTTGCTTATAATATTAATTGAACATTAAAAGGTTTTGAATCATTTTACCGATTTGCATACGTACATGGTAATCAATTGGGTCCCTATCAAAATATGTCTATTGTCATCTATTGTCAGAAAACATTGTCTGTCTAGAATCTAGAAATAAGCTAACATACATTATTTCAGTAAAATGACCAAAGGATTTATACATTTATTATTTTAAAATACTCGTTATCTACTTGCTAAATTAGAAAATTGGTTTAATAACACGATGCAGATCAAATAAAAAATATAATAAAATATTTTTATATGAACATTAAAAGTAAATACTTAAGTCCTTATAGTGGCTGTTACATAATTTACATTTAATGTAAACACTTTTCCGCGTTATTTATATTCCTAATACCTTGTTAGTATTTAATTTTTTTAACAAAAAATAGATCATTTGAATAATCGTGAGCAGGAATATAACAATTATTAATACCAATGAAGAAGACTATGAAGAGTTTTACGAAAACAAGTCACAAAATTACATAGTTTATATAATATACTATTAGCATACATTTTATTTTAGATTAAGATATAAAATACATAAACATGATGAATAAGAACAAATTATTTTCAGTTCTTACGCATTTTTGTATATGCTTCTCGAGAAAAGTTAATCAAATTTCATAAATACGTAATATAACTACAACAATTATTTTTAGGATACTAATGATTTTTTTTCGACGTGCATACGCTATTTTCTGTATACTCGTACTTTCTGCTGACATTGGAATTATTGTTTGTGCCCTAAAACAAACAGGCATGTTAAATTTAAAAACAAACATTACATATTATAGTAGTAAATAAGATCATATTAGATTACATTATAATATTACAATAATAATTTGTAACACAGCTAAATGTTTAGCAGAAGTACATTTATTTACAGTTGAAAAAAAATGAAGACGTTTTTATTAATATAATTAAAATTATAAATTATAAAATCATTAATACTTGTAAATTTATACATAAATAAATAAATAGTTTTTATATATACTCTTAGTAAAAAATGATTAAATAAATAAAAGTTTATTTTGGAGTGTTATTATATTTGTGTAGTACGACCAGTCTCATATTAAAAACTTATCAATAGGACATTTACAAAGTCAATAAAATCGCGACTATATATGAAAAAAAAAATAGTGGGAATTTTATTTTTTCATATTCATTTACGACCTTATTGACTTTATATGTACACTGACAATTTATTTTTAATTCATTAAAAAAAAAAGTTCAAAAGTTATAAATCTACGATGGTACAGAGAAAGAAAACGTTAATTTATATAATGTGATTGTAAATAACTCTTCATTACAATTAATATTAATAATATAATTATTAATTCATACCTTACACATATTTTTTATAATATTATAAAATCACTTATTTTTTAGAAAAATTTAACCCCTAGCGCCATCAACCACACACATAATATGAAAATACACCACTATCTACATACTCGTATATATATACATATATATGTATTAGAGAGGTCCTTAATTTTTATCAATGAATATTTCATGCTTGGTTATATTTAACCGCAATTTTATTTGATATCATATAAAAGTAATTTAGGTAGAATTTGATGATGATGACTTACCCTCTTTCCGTGCCTCAAAAAGATTGAAAAGTCCATTTTTTTATGAAAAAACAAAATTAATTTTTTACTTATTTGGTGAACATTTTGCCTTTAAATTGTTTTAATTAATTTAACAAACTGTTGAAGGTAGAATTATGAGTTTTTTTATAAATTATTTTAAATTTAATTTTATAGAATTATCTCATTAATAAATATATCTTTTCATTGATAGTTCTATTGTTACAATCGAATTCATTAATTTGTTAGCATATATTTTTTAAAAAATATTATTTTTCAATAATACGTGTATTTTAATGGAACATGTAAAACTTTTTCCACAGAATTATAAAAGAAATAACTCATACAGTTATGAAACAATATAAATATGTCAGTGAAATTAATAGTAATATTTTTTTTTTTAATTTCAGTGTTACACTCGGAGTATGCATTACCGTATTCTTGTAAAACCTATTAATTTCCACAATATTTTCTTCGATCAAATACCACACATGATTGATATATTTCTTCATGGCAACATCTTCTAATCCATTATTTTAATCCATAATCTTCCAAATTTTTTTTTTTAAAGTAATAAATATTTTATAGGTGGTGTTAGTAAATTTGAAACTGTGAACAACGCTTATAGATAGTATTAAATAACATACTTCTTCAAGTTAATTTAATTCTCTTGTAGTAAATTTAAATTAATCACTGTATAATAACACTGTAAGGCGATAAATAGCTTTTCTATCCATCGTGCCAAATGATAAACAACTGATTATCGAAATTTAAATATACGGTGGAAAGGGAGTTTAAACTTTCTAGAGATATTAAAACCAATTCGATAAATTCTCTATAGCTGTTTCTGGAAATATTATAGTTTAATCGTTGTATACAAAATAAAGAAATTTAATATACGTCTTTAAATTTTCATATGAGATATAAAAATTAGAATACATTCTAAATTTGCTAAAGCTTATATTTTTTTAGTTATTTTTGAATCAATTGAATAAAGGTACATTAGGAACATTCATAACAGTTACTTTCAAAAAAACTGCTTGGAAAACTAATTCAAATATATAAAATGAAAACACGTAAAAAATAAAATATCGCAATTTGATAATTCTAAAAAAACACTTGTCCCATTCGAACGACCATTGTTGGACGCTGAGAAATCACATACAAACGCTTGAACTTTATTTATTAAATCGCAATCTTATAATAAATCGAATACTGTCGAAGATGTTTGTTTTCTTGTATTTATAGTGCTTATTATTAGAAAAGAGTCCTACGAGTTTTTCTAAATTTGAAGCTGAAACAATTACAGGAAGTCTATGCATTTTTCTTTAGTTACCATGAAAACCAATAATTTAGAACTCCAGTGTACAACTACATAATTTAAATGCTGTTATATCAGTTATTAATAATAACTGATATAACAGCATTTAAAGTTTTTGCGGTATCGGTTCAAATATCGGTTTTGAAAATAAACCGATACTGATATTTCCGATACCACCAATATCGACCGATACCATGTATCGGTTCTATGATCGGGACACCCCTAATAAATACTGACCATTATTATTATTTTAAGATAAAATTTATCTCTTCGTCTTTATAAGTTTATAACAAATTGTTGACCTTGATTCATAAAAAAAATTCACCAAAGCGCTTGATTTTCGATAAAACATCAAAATATGCACTAAAAGCTTAAAATATGCTCTTATAATCAAAAATATGACCCTTAAACCAAAAAATATACAAATATGCAAAAACATGCACAAAAAACTTTGAGTATTTCATCATAAACGTTATGAAATGTATTTTGTACTTATCGAGCATACGATAAAGTTAACCAGAAAAAATATGCAAATGCATGAAAGTCCTTGCTCTAGTTATTATACAGTGATTATAATACAGTATTATAATGTTCAACTATTAATAAGATTAATATAATCTCTACTCGAGCTTTATCTACACTTTTTTTCGACGATGTCACTAATTATTTAATACAGGTTCTAAAACAATTCTATATATAATATTAAATATAAATCCTATAAATATAATACAAAAAAGATTCCATTTGATAACTTTGTAACTTTTACTCTGTAAAATTAAACACAAAAAAAACGTTTTATTACTACAAAAAACATTTTTGAAGAAATAAATGCAAAATATTATACGAGTTATGAAATGAAGAGGAATATTGTAATATAAATAGTTAAAGATAATATTTTTTTATTTTATAAAGTTAATGTACATTTTCATCATACGTATTAAATTTCTTGATTAAAACTAAAAAAATCAGAATTATACGATTATCAGTAATTTTTTAATGCTCTTGAAACACGGAAAAATATTACAACACTAAATTCTGCCTAAATTACTTTTATATAGTATCGAACAAAATAAAGGGAGGAAGGTTATGATTCAAGAAAATAAAAATAAATATTAATGTCCTCTCCTGTAAGTCAAGATCACTCTAATATACCTAATATATATATATATATATATAAACCCATAACAAATTAATTAAACAAAAATAAATATTATATTGATGTTACCTTTTGAACATAAGTTTTCACATAAAAGTTCCCAAATAATCCGATAAATGAAATCATGTAAATCACCAATAAATATTGCATCCAAATGGAATATTTACATCCAGATTTAATTGCATGGACACACCAAAATAGACAAAAGGCAAATTGAATCTATATTAAGTGTAATTAAATAGCTATTAAATTATCTAAAATTGAATAATTTAAATACAAATGAAAATTAATCAACATTTTTACAAACCAATTGTATTATGGTCAAGTACTTTTTCCACCATAAATACTTTTCAATCTTTAGACCCAAAGCGCTTAAGGCATAATACGAATACATAAGCACGTGTATAAAACTGTTAATCATTGCCAGTAAAAACGTCGAACCACTAGGAACCCATTTCACTATCATCCACATCAAACAGAAAATAGTAGAATGATGATAAACGTGTAGGAAAGTAAGTTGTTTATCTTTTTTTCTGAGAATGAAGAATATCGTATCCCAAAACTCTAAGAGTTTCGAAAAATAGAACCACCAAACTGCTCTCAATAACTAAAGTATAAAACATAAAAAAATATTATAAAACATTAAATTATTAAATTTTCTAGATGAATATTTGAAAAATGCAAAAATAACAATTTTTTTGTATTTATATATTATTCATACATATGTACATTCTTGTTTATACTGTTTCTATAGTATTCAAAATACAAAAAAAAAAAATTGAAAAATAATTACGCGTAAATACTATACAAAAAGCTATAAATGTGTTTATTTTTAGAACTAAATTACCCTTAATTCGTCGTTATTATTCATAAATGTAAGTGGTTGACAAACATAACTATAACGCAAAAGATTAGATACCACTAGTAGCTGAAAATGAAATGTCATAATTTTAATTTGGTATAGTAATTTCAAAAGATAAAATTATTCGGCATACTTCAATAGCTATATATAAATTCAACAGAGTCATAAAAACATTGTACTGTATCAATATAAATGTTAGCTCAAACGGTTTTCGATTTTTCATGTATCTCGGGCCCAGACCAACGATTATAAAATAAATTACTGTGTAAATAATTGTTGGTGCAGGTGAATCAATCATCAACCAACCTTTTGTTCGATCATCTGCAACAAAAAATAAAAGGTTTCGTTTATACTTTGTTCTAACCCCCCCCCTCCCCCCCGAAATTTTCTCCGATATCTAGGTTAAAATTTACAAATTTTACAAATTTGAAATATGAAGAGCTAGTATTAAATACCTAGTATCATTGATTATAGAATAGTCTGTTCAATTATCAATGCTATTATTTAAGTCAAAATATATTAAGGATTTGCATAATTTTATTAATCGTAAAATGTGTTATATTTTTACTTTGCCCCCCCCTGAAAAAAAATCCTGTGTGCGCTACTGCTTTTATAAGTATTATAACATACATAGATAGATATTATTTTTAATTGGATTAAACTCGACAAGTTCAAATTAAATGTAAATTAATATACATATATAAATTTTATACATGTATTTTGCGAGAGTGCATACATAATATGCACTTCTGCAACCATACCAAAGATTATTATTCAACATATATTTTCATCACTTTTTATTTTGTTGATTAAAATATAAAAAGAAATTTAATATTAAATGGATTTTAAGTCAATAAATATCATATTTTTTTTATAGAGTGGGCCAGTATGCTTTCTTGATGGAAATCTTTCAGTTAATATTTTTTTTAAAGTTTCAAGTTTTAGGGCAATTTAAAAATGAAGGGACATTGGTATGTTTAAATTTACCCCTTAACTAGCTAAGAAAAATAACTATTTAATTTGTAATTTCAATAAAATTAAAAAACAACTATTTCTGAAGACTAGAATGCCACAAATAAGTTTTATACGTGTTACAAAATAAAATCGCATATCTCAAATCATTTTGATTGAAAGATATTTGTTTGATTGAGGTCCCGAATCAAAAATTGGTCGGGGTGACCACGCTTCAACTAGTGCCGGATATAAAATATCAAAGAAAAAAGTGGACTTTATTAAATTATAAAACTTTATTATATTCAAAACAAGGCAACAACCAACGTATACAAAAACCGAACATGACACGACACTTATAATGTAATCGCGCAACCAATTAAAATAAACTATATGTACCTGGTGATGACGGCGTGAATTTATAGCCGGTCGTCATCGGGTTAGAAGACAGGTAGTACGATAGGTCAGTTCTAGAATATTAAACACAATATCTCTGATAAGAAGACATAATATTCTAGAAAATTCGAGACTATTTTTGTCAATTATCAAACTGCACCCAACAATATTAGTTATTTAATAATCATTCTATAAATATTAATCGTATTGACTAGTATTGACTAGAGTTCTTTAACGATATCGATATCACGAACTTTTTTAATTAAATTTCAATTTCGACAATCTAAATATATCGAACTATATATCGATTATCGATAATCAATTTTCCCTTTTGTATATTTATTATTTCAATTTCATGTATATGTATTATTTAATATACAGCTGATGTAATAATTTATAAGATCACATTGTTAAGCCATGGGTTTATATTTATTTTGGGATTAGGTTAAAAATAGCAAATGATACGGAAAATCAATTAATTTACTAATGACACAAATCACAAAGAAGTAGTTTCTAAACTTCTTTTCAAAAGAGAACATACCGCTCGCGCGACTGATTTTGGTTCGGTGGCGCTGATCCCCCACCAGTTGTCCAATGCTCCTACCTAAGCAACGCCGGTCAGATATCTATTAATTGTAAATAAGTTATTGGAATTAGGTGTATACTCGTCGGCAAACTTTGATCGGCGACCGTTGTGCGCGATTGATGTCTCGTTTCAATGAAAGTGGGAGAAATTGGATTCGGGACGGTTGACAGCGATCAGTCTACATGCGCGAAAGCGGTATGTTCCCTTTTAAAAAGAGATATAGTTCTGGTGCAGTATTCAATGGTAAAGCATTTAGTTCGTTAAAATTGTGTTTTTTTTTTTAATATTAAATAATATTTAATATTAAAAAAAAAAAATATATATTTAATAAATATTAATATATTAAATATTAATTTTGTTTAATTCGTAAAAAATATTCTTATTTGTTTTGTTTTTTAATATTTTAACTAATTATGGCTGATTATAAACTTGTGCCATTAGCTGGTGCTCGGAGTGATGTATGGAAGAGCTTTAGGTTTACAATATATTCCAATGGTGTAATAATAAATAAAAAACAAGTAATTTGTCGCAATTGTTCACTCTCAATATCTTATAGCGGAAACACAACTAATTTAAATTCACATCTTGAACAATGCACAAAAGGCCATTCTTTTAAAACTAAAAACTAGTTTTTATTTTAGGAATTTTAAGTTTTTCTTGTTGTTCTTCTAAAATGTGTTGAACAACTACTTTACGTAGTTTTATTAGTAGTTCTGCAATCGAGATGTGTTTAAGTCCAGCATTAATAGCCAGTTGCATGCTACGAACAGAACACCAAACTAAATTAACTTGCCCTCCCAATTCTAAGACCGCCTTGGTAATATTTGGTGCTTAATCACACACTATTGCACAGACTTTATCATCAATTTTCCAAATATCATTAATAATCATGTTTAGATTATTAATTATGTTCAAAGATATATGAAACTCTTCAATGTTTACTGTTTTTAATACTCTAGATTTCAATGTCCAGTTTTCTATGAAATGACATGTCACACCTAAGTAGTTGTTAACGTTACGTGATATCCAAAAATCAATTGTAAAACAAATATAAGGAATATTTTGAAGATGAATTTTAAAATTATTTCTTTCTTGCAATGTTATATGATCAGAAAGTCTTGTTATGGTCGCAATTCTAGGAACAACATATTCTGAAACAGCCAAATGCATAAAGTCTCTAAAACCTTTTCCTTCGATAAGATTAAATGGCCGTACATCTCTAACAACAAAGTTTAGTAGACTTCTAGTTAGATCTTTGTGGCGTTTACTGTTGAATGATAATTTTGTTTAGAATTTATACCAACTAGATCTCCATACCAACTTCTTTGTTTGAACTATCAGTAAACCAGCAAATTAAATTGTCAGAGACATAGAACGTGTTCTATGACAAAGACCATAGATAAAGAATTATGTCAAATACTTATATATACTATATACTTAAACTTTAGATAACAATAATTTCACTATAGAACAGTCAGTATATCGATAGTACATTTTTTTATTCGATACGCGATTCAATATCGTAAAAAACCAAATGATATCGATATTCAAAACAATATCGTTGAAGAACCCTAGTATTGATTTTTATTTAGATATTGGAAATTCGTTATTTTATTCTTCAAAAACCTTGAGGATTTTATACAATGGGCATTTTTTATATAATTAGGTTTATTTCATAAAATCAATGCATTACACGTAATACGTAGGTACGAGATATAATGGCTCTTGCAATAGATTTGTAATCATTTTATAACTTTTATCTCTTATTTTTAAAACTGATGAGTTTATTAACAAATTTGTACAGCTTCAGCGTCTATAATCACTATCACAGTAAAAATTAATACCGATATAAATAATACAATTTAAAGTTTATGTTGCTGAAAAATGTATCTAATTTGTTACAATACCCAAAAAAGGAAATCGTAAATATTTTTCTTCTTTTTAAATTTTTACTAGCTATAATTATGAAAATAATTGTTGTATTTTTATTTGCAATACTTTACTAATTTCATAAAAGTTTGTTTTATAAAACAGCTATTTTGAAGTTTAATAAAAATGAAAAGTTCAAGTTATTTTTCGGAATCCAGTAGAAGAAAGAAAATATGTATTATATATTACATTTTTCAAATGAACCGTTATTATAAAATTACCCTTTAACCAAAAAAAGGAGGTGTTTCCATCGGGAAAATATACTGGGCCACTTATATGTGTGATGGTTAAATAATAAATTACTAATTAAGTTCATATTAGTGATTATGTATACGTATGTACAGTATATCCTGTCTTATCTAAACAAATTATTAAGGTCAGCGAGTAAAATTTATTAAGTGATAACTTATTTTATCTTGAATCTATATTAATAGTACTTATTACTGGCACCGTAGTAATCAAAGAAAAAAAAAGCACGGTAGTTGTTGTATTGTTTCGTCTCATCTTACATGTTTTAAAATGCCTGCAAAGATTTGTTAAAGTTTAAATGAAAAAATAAAAGTTAAAGAAGAAAGTGAAAAAGGAAATAATGTTAAAACATTAATAAATACTAATAAATGTGGTAAAACGCAAATTTATAACATAATTAAAAACAAAATTGAAATTAAAGAATAATGGTTAAAAGGTAAGTTCATATGAAATAATTAAATTATTTACATAAAAAATCCATAAAATTAATATTAATGAAATTTACATTTTAGGTACAATGAAGTACGCCATGATTATCACGAAAATGTCCATTTTGAAAAATTATAAAATAATAATAAGTAATAATATAATAAGTAAATAAGTAAATAAGTAACCAATAATAACTATTGGCGGTACAAATTGGTGAACAAATATAAAAAAGAGGTAGTCGTCTAAAGATCACATCAATCGGACCATCATCGGACCATCATCCATGATTCATACGTAGTGCTCACTTATTCATATTTCTATATTTTAAAAATTAATAATAAATTAATGTAAATTCAAAAAGGAAGGGGTAATGTAACGATTGTTATATAGTTATTAGTCTATATATTATATATATATATATATATATATATATATATATATATATATATATAATATGTATATTGCTGAGTAGACATTATGACAAAGTGAATTTTTAAGAGCTATCGCTTCTAATTTAAAATTTTAGATTTATTTAAATTTTATTGTTATATTTTAGATTATTTATTTATATCATATTATCATATTATTTTAGATTTTTCAAGTATTAACAAAGCTGATGTATTATTAATTGTTACTATATTATATTATGTCATTTTTTAAAATAAATGAAATCGTTATCTAAAGAATAATTTTTTATTATACATTTTATATAAAAAAAAAAATTACAGATGACGTTTATGAGAAATTACTTATATAACATACAATTTTATAACAACTAATT